TACCAGCCATTGGGGAGCCCCTGTTGTTCACAGCTGACTCTTGGGGCAGCTTCACGTGAAATTGCTAGGCCGCTTGCGGCTGGCGATACAGGCGTGGGCTCAAAATGAGCTTGGCTGCTAGGTTGCGTAGGAGCTAGCGGGCGAAATTCGGCAACGGCTGAGGCCACGGTGCCGATCTGCGCCCCGGAAGCTCCACTGAGAGCCGTTTCGAAGCGTTGTGACATGGAACTGCCATGCATTCCAAAGGGAGCAGTAGCAATCCCATTCGCCCGCGTGCACTGTTGGGGTTGGGCTATACCGTATATACTCGTGTAAGGGCCGCCCTCGTGTAAGGGCCGCACCCCAACTTTGAAAGCGGATATTTCGAAAAAAAAAAAAACAAAAGTTCAAAATGTCCCGCCAGAAAAGTGTAGTTAGTTCATTTACAGCCAGATGGCGCTGCACGCTTTTCCGCTTTTATTCTACTTCCGCCGACGCGCCGACCACGCTGTTGACAGCGCGCCGCCATATTTGCCTTGTGCGGCCTCTTTGTTGGCATCGTTCCTAGCATCGTGTCGATACGTTGGCAGCGCGACTTCAGATCGGTGTCGTCGGTGTCACTTTGTTGGTTGTAGTGAACCCTGCAGAAGCCAGCGCACGTGACGGACGATGGGCCGGCATCTGAGATCATTCACTGCAGCATTTAAGCTGCAAGTGATTGACTATGCCGAGGAGCACGGGAAGCGGGAAGCTGGACGAAAGTACGACGTCGATGAGAAGCGCGTGCGTTACTGGATGAATCAGAAAGATGCCCTCGCCGCTACTAACAGGAGCCGAAAGGCGTTTCGCGGGAAAAAGTGCAAGTACCCGCAACTCGAAAGCGAGCTCGTCAACTACGTCGTCGACACACGAAGGGACGGCTACGCCGTATCGACTGACATGATACGCGTCAAAGCCCTCAGCATCGCTCGCCACATGGAAATACCCCCGGCACAATTCAAGGCAAGTCGGGGCTGGGCTACGCGGTTTATGAACCGTAACCAGCTTTCTATTCGGCGCCGAACGACGATTTGCCAAAAACTGCCGCGCGAGTACGAAGACCACGTCATTAAGTTTCATCGCTTCGTGAATGCTCTCAGGAGGGAGCATGAATACGACCTGTCCCAAATTGGGAATGCGGACCAGACACCTGTGTGGTTCGATGCACCGGAAAGCACCACAGTGGATTTAAAAGGTGCGAAAAGTGTGTCTGTGCGCACGACTGGTGCAGAACGCCAAAGGTGCACTGTGATGTTGTGCATCACGGCAGACGGCAGGAGGCTTCCGCCGTACGTCGTATTTAAAAGGAAGACTCTCCCAAAAGAGAAGTTCCCTCAGGGAATCGTCGTACGTGCGCAAGAGAAGGGCTGGATGTCCGAGGAACTGGTCGTTGACTGGATTAAGACCGTCTGGGCAAACAGACCTGGAGGGCTGTTACAACGGAAAGCCCTCCTTGTTTTGGACAGCTTTAGGGGCCACTTGACCGACCGCGTCAAGAACCGAGTTGCCGCAACTCGTACGGACTTGGCCGTCATTCCCGGTGGCCTGACGAGTGTGCTGCAGCCGCTCGACGTATGCGTCAACAGACCATTCAAAGTGGAATTTCGCCGATGTTACTCTGAATGGATGGCTGGAGGCGTCCACGAGAAGACCCCTACAGGACGGCTGAAGCGGGCGTCGCTCCAACAGGTGTGTGAATGGATTTTGAATGCGTGGCGTGCCATGTCAGTAGAAGTAGTTGCTAAAAGCTTCAAGGTAACGGGAATTTCGAACTCCATGAACGGCACCGAAGATGACCGTCTCTGGGAAGACGCGGACGCCGAGGCGAGCTCCTCCGAGAACGAGGACAGCGAAATGGAATCCGAATAAAAACATTTCTGGCATGTCATTTGTGACTCTTGCACTCTGCTACTGTTGCATAAACAGTACAGACCTTTGGCCTGTACTGCCTGTACTAAATCGGCCTGATTCGTGTAAGGGCCGCACCTAGCAAAATTTTCGAAAAAAAAGTGCGGCCCTTACACGAGTATATACGGTAGCCCCTGACCCAAAACACGCTACCTCTCCAGTGGCAGCTGTTACGTAGCGCCTCGTGTCATCCCGACTGGGGCTAGTGACAAGTGAGGGTGCGTGATTGTGATGCTCAAGGGGGGCACTAGCCCTGTTCTCGAGCAATGCGGTGTCTGCTAAAAGCGTCAGTGAACAAAACTTACGCGGAGCAGACATAACGCGGGCAAACACGGCGAGCCTGGTTAGCAAAGGCGGGCTGACTCGGCTAAGACTAATCAAAGGCTTAATGAACCTTTGATACCGCATTGGGCGCCAGTATGGTGACCTCACTACTCACCGTAGTGGATGATCACCGCGGGTTCACGCTTAGCGAGCCGCAGGGCCGCGACTCCGTCACCACAGCTTGTAGCGCACCGCTCCGCGCGCGTTTAACTAATAAGGCGTTTAGTGCGGCGTAGCAAAACAGACAGTGTTACAGTACAGAAATACACAACACTATATTGCCTTTGGCGGCACCCCGAACAACAGTACAACGTCCGCTCCCGGGACGCGGAGAGCAAAAGCTCCCACACGCGGACGTTCATGATAAGGGGAAACCGCGAGCACGTCGCAGCAGGCAATGGCGAGCTTTGACACGCCGGTCGGGAAAAGGTCACTCGCGGCTATGCTGCACACTCTCACAATGGCCACTGGGCCTGGTCGCGAGTGTTAGGGCAAACGTCGTACGCGTAGGCCTACGGCAAGTGCAGCTCGGTGTGGTACGACCACTTCAAGCACTAGGCACCGCTGTGGGCTTAGCGTATGGTACCGAAGCTAGCACTCAAGTAAACACGCCTGCCGAGGTGCCAAAGGCCACCCCAGGCAGGCTACAGTCTGGTGATTCCAAAAGGGGATGCGGACGAAGGAAACACGTGCTTACCCGGCGCCGACCACGGAGGAGAGAGAGCTCCGTCGACTCGCATGTAACACGTGCCGCATCCGCACGTGGCGCCATCTATCGCCACGCGCCGTTACCAGAGCAGAAGAAGCAAAAAGTGTGGCTGTGTGGCGGAATGCCCGCGAAATGGTCACGGGCGCGCTTCAGATCCCCACAGACTATAACAAACAAGAAAAACAGTCGATCAGGGCAGAATTCGTGCTCAGAAAGTCATGGCCGAGGATAAGGTCATGAGAGCACTCATCCAGAACAGCGAAGAGAACTGAGGTCTTGTGGTCATCGAAGCTCACACGCGCAGAACACATTCCAAAGACGGTAGGTGTACGACCATCAGCTACGCAAACAATGGGTGATGAGGTGGGGGTAACGGCTTTACAAAGACGACGAGAAAGGTGAGCGCTCATGACTGATAATGGGGCACCTGTGTCGATGACCGCTGAAACAGGCACGCCATCTACTTCAACATTCAAAAGGTTTTGCCGAGTTGTCAGAGTTAACAGAGGATTTCCGGGTCGACAGGTCAATGCAGCATCACCTCTGGGAGCTGCACCGATCAGTTTTCCGAGGAGAGACGGCGTGGGAAAGGTGAAGGGGAGCGACGGGGCATAGGTGACCGAGAACATCGCTGGGTCTGGGGGGACGGCGAGCGGTCGTAACGTGAGGTCGATGTTTGATCATTAGGGTTCGTTGGGTCCTCATGGCTGTGCAAAGAGGAGGATCTGGTGTTATCTAGACGGTGTGTTGAATGAGGGGACGATGGCCAACGATAACGACAATAGCAGGCAGTGTGGCTGACGCCATTGCAGTTGAAACTTATTGGCCTGTCATCACGCGTGCACCACTGGTTCAGATCAGGGTACCTGTAATATGTCTGTAGCGGCCGGTAGTATAAAGCAGGTCTGACCGCGGGACGACTTGGGGCACATACTGGCCGCATGCCTACATTTGCCAGTTCTTCGCACACGACGGCCTGGATTAGTGACACTGTCGGGCAGACTTCCTCGTGAGAACAAGCCTGGGGAGTAGATGGAGTTGCTGCCTCAATCTCTCGGTGCACAAAGACGCAGGAAGATTTAGGTACTAGGGGGCGGCTGAATCTGGACGTCTTGGCACAACAATGTGGCGGCAGTGTTAGGTCGCCAAGCTAATTGCTGCGAGACTCGTCGGCTCTTTGCTTTCTTGAACCGTCGGCACTTCCTGATAATGTCGGCAATGGTGGAGCAGTCTTTATACACAAGCAAGTGGAAGGTGTCATCACTGATGCCTTTAAGAATGTGGCGGACTTCGTCGGCTTTGGGCATTTGGCTATCAACTTGCCGGCACCAGGCTAAGACATCTTGAATATACACCATGTACGGCTTTATTGAGGTTTGGGCCCTGCACAAGAGTTCATTCTAGGCGGCTCGTTAGCGTGCAATGGGCTTTCTGAAAAGGTCTTTCATTTTTTGTTTGCATGCGTCCCAGCTCGCCAGCTCCTCCTCGTGCGTGTCGAACCACACACTGGCGGTACCCCTGAGGTAGTAGCTGTCATTTGCGAGCATCAAAGTCGGATCCCAGCGATTGGTCTTGCTGGCGCACTCATAGTCTTCCAGCTACTTCTCCACGTGCATGATATCAGTCCCGCAGAAAAGGCCAAGGTCTCGGGGGTGGGTAACAACAACATGGCTTGATGTATTCGGCATAGCGGGGGATGCTTCGACGGCATTGTCTGTCGGCATGATTGCCTGTCCAAGACGACGCCCGCTGCAAAGTTCTGTCTCGCGTGAAGCGCGTACCCCGCACCTTCCACCAATGATGTTACAGGGGGGAGGGTGACAAAAAGCGGGCATATTTAGAATATTTACAGTTCACAGTAGTGCTGGCAAAAACAACCAAGATGGTGAGAGCAGGCACCACCTAGTCTTTTTTATTCACCTTCTAAGTGAGCGGCACATAACAATTCTTATTAAAGTCAAATGCACAGTGTGACAGCCAGGTGTTGCTGTTCTTTATTTAAAATTTTTGTCTGATAGAGCTTTGCTTTTTGGTCGTGCAGGTGCTGTCGCCCATCACCGGCAAAGTTCTGGGTGCGAGCGAGTTGCGGGTGAGCACAGACAAGGAGAGTCTGGTACGCCTTGAGGTGCAGCTCGTCACAGGCCTCTCGCTCGAGGTGCTTCCCGACGATGCGGCCGCGGGGGTCTTCGTGGCCAAGACGTCCACCACTCACGCACTCACCTCGCTATACCAGGCAAGAAAGACACGCCCTGAATGACAACACTGTTGTCTAATTACTCGTTACCCTTTCCAGCCTGATGCCTTATGCACAAGGCTGTATGATACTAGCTGTCAGTGTAAGGCAGGAGAGAATTTTACAGTAAATAGTGTTCTGTGAGCACACAGCTGCGAGTTTTTTTAGTGCCGAGGCAGTAAAAAGACAGTTCAGGTCAGCAGACAAATCACTGGCTCTATGAGATATCGGGAGATTTAAAGATTAAAGACATAAGATGGTAGGCTTCAACAAGATAAGAATTATTAAAGGCAGCTGGGAAAGAGCTTCATGCCGCTATGTGCATAGTTAGGATGGCAGTTTTGATGTGCATTTCATAGTAGGAATGAGTGTAGACAAGCAGGCAGATGACAAATAATTTGAAGAACAGAAAGTGTATTTCTGAAACTTGTGCCTATGAAGAAAAACACAGTATGATTTCGTTTCAGCAGACCTTCATAGGGAAGAGAGTCTTGGCTTGTTGTAAAGGGAACACGTCTATACTGTAAATGTGTAACAAGTCTGTTTTAAATAAAGAGAATCACAAACATGCTCAGAGAACAGAGTTTCTCTTAAAGCTTCTGAAAAAAAGTTTGTGAGCTTCGCCTACACTGTGTGGTGGACAACTTTAGGCACTATATGTGTCTTCATCATCACAAGCGTGTTCACTTCATCTGCACTTGTGGCCTGTTGTTGAAAATAGCTTTTTTAGTCCTTAAATGTAATCCAAGGCCAGTGAAGCACGTTGTCACTTTCTCGATTGCAGTCCCTAGGGTGCCTTCTTAATTTTCGTCCTCTGCTTCTTGCCCTGCATTTGGTACTCTGCGAATTTGGGCAACAATCTCTTCATCTGTCAGCTGCTCTGTGCTGACAAGGTCATTGTCCACAGTTACATACTAATCGGAAAACTGCTGGCTCCTAGAGATCTTCTCGAAAGCTGACTAGGCCCTGGGAAATGCTCAGTCATCCAGTCGCAAAGGGTTTGCGCAGTTGCTGTCGTGTATTGGAAAGCCAGTTTTTCTGAAGCAATTGTTTTTATGATCGTTGGCTCAATCAGTGCCCACACAGTGAAAAGCAGTGCTGCTAATCTGAGGTCTATAACAGAGTTGCGCTTTTATTGCATATCAAAAAGCAAATGTTCAGCTAGGCATGAGCAGTACCTAGATTTCACCAAGTGCGTGATACCTTAATCGATGAGCTGTGCTTTGGACGTTGTGCCCAGTGGAAAATGTGCGACCTTTTTAGCATGAAGCTGGGGAAGGTGCTTGTGGCTCGAGCAGTTGTTGAGAAAAAGTACCACATTCTCTTCCTGTCTTTGCATCTTGCTGACAAAGTCCAGCAACCATCTTTTAAAAATATCCTTCGTCATCCAGGCACCTTTTTTCGAGTCCCAGGTCTTGGGAATGTGCATATTGCACATGCCGAGCGGTCTTTTGAGATTTCCCTATAACCAGGAGTTCGGTCTACTTGCTCCTGTTCATGTTGCTCCTTCGACTTCTCGCCACTGTGGCACGTGTCTTCGTCAAAACAAAAAGTCTTTCTTAGCTTCAACTTGTAAAAAATGCGCTTTCATCGGTATTCAAGACATCTCGCTATGCATAGCCTTCGTGGAACACAGGAAGAACATCGGCTTTCCAGTCGGCTACAATAGAGTTGTCAACTCTGGCCAACTTTCTGGCAAAACACCCGAAGGTAATGCCATGCCTCAATTTAAATTGGTTCAGCCAACCTTCACTGCACTGAAACTTTTTTGGTTAAGAACAACAGCAATTTGCTCCGCACAGTTTTGTAGCAGCAGTCTGTCAAAGAGGGTATTTCGCGAACGGGTATCATGAAGCCACATCTGCAGGGCCTCTTTGACGTCAGGATATAAAGCGTCATAGAGCCAAAACCTGTATGGTTAGAAGTCACCCAAGACTTTCTTTGCCAAGATTGCTTCCTATCGTTGATGATAGTGTTAACCATCTGCTCCAACGTGCTGTATGCCACAATGATGTTCACCTGCTTCTTTCCTTTCTCATCTTGCTCGATGATTTCAAGCTTGTCATGAAGGAAAATCTACTTGCGCTTCGTCACTTGCAATGGTTTACAACGCACAGCATTGGCTGCATCACACCGCGGTCATGTCCGCAACATGCAGAGGCCAATAGGGTGCACAAACACAAACCAAATGGCGAAACAGCCTTGGCTGAACAAAGCACCCTCCATAAGCGCCATGCCAATAATGCCACTAAACCTTTTATTTGGAGAGGGGCCGCTACTAATTCAGTGCTTTCTATTTACTTTTTTAGTTTGGCAACAGTTTTATGCAAAAGGTAGTAAAGTATGACTTTAATGTTTCCTTATTTTTCTTCCTTTGTTTTTTTTTTTTTCAGTCAGTGGGCCGACTGTTTCAATGTTCCCTTGTACAGTAAACGATGGATTATGCAATTGATCATTGGCAGACTGAAGATTGGCAACTTTCATTCTTAAATTGGTACATTAATATTTGTGCGCACTGCTTATATGCTGTTGTGCATCCCAAGTCTTTAATGCCTCATGCAATGTTTATTTTGATAACACTACACTCATTGCGAATCGTATGTTATATAAACAAGGGTGGAAGTCAGCCCCACCAGGCGTGCTACTCTCTTCCAAGCACGTATGCCCGGAATGGCCGCCACATGTGTTGATGTTGCTGGCGGGCTGTTCTCATTGTGAAAGTATGCAATGAGATGTTTGAAGCCAGAAGCTATGAAATTTGGGATGTTCGTGGTAGAAAAGTCCGCTGTGAAAGAGTGCTGACTACCTTGCTGGCCTCACATTTTAGTCAATTACATCTGAATGTCAGTTGTACCGAAATCCATTGTAAATGAAACTCAATCAATAGAACAGATAGTGAAATCTGCATAACGCCACAAATTGGTATGTAGTATTCGAGTGTCTATTGTAAACAGATTTGTTGTAACAAAGTCGTTTGGTATAAGCAGTAGTGCAGAAACTAACAAGGTAAGTGACCATTTGATCAAATCGATTGCTTAATGCTCCTATCTGTAGTACTCCTATCGGTAACTGCTTAATACTCCTATTTGTAGGTTGATTGAGCCTCAGTATGTGCTGCAATATGCTTCGGCATTCCAGTTAGCTTTTTATGGATAGTGAATTTTAGGAGTAATAATTAGACTCCAATGTTTTTCTAGCATGCATTCGGGGTGCATATTCGAGAATTGTTAGTAGTCTGTAGTGTACTTAATGGAATTTCTCTGAGATGGGTGCACAGGAGTATTACTTAATTTCAACTCTGTTGTAGAACCTTTGCCTTGAATAAATAATTGCAGCAATCATTACTCAACACATGCAAATGTCCTGCTTGATCTGTCCACTTCAATGTGGAAGTGAGAAGTAGCCGAGTCCCTGAATCAAAATTTTGTGATGATGAGGCACAAAATACTGACGCTCCAAATGTTGCCTTTGACATTGGTCTGTACTGTTGCATTACTGTGCACTAAAATTAATTACAATGAGGGTTACTAATGCCAGATAATGAAATCCTTGTCAAAATCATTTGGAGGGGTGTTATTGTGCTTTGTGGCTTGGGCAATTGGCTTATTTTTTTGTCATTTTAGTGAAGGATAAGGAAGAATAAATGTTTGTTGTTTAAAACAGTATAGCGGTGCAGGTTCTGCTTCTACCCTACGTAGGAGGTCTCCTCCCTTTAATGGAGGAAAAAAAAAGGCGTGTTTTTTGCAAAGGTACCATTTGTACTTGTGTAAGAGCCTCACTTTCTTTTTGCAATATTGACGTTGCATGCCATGACCATAAGACCGGGCTGTTTGGTCTAATAATTTTTTCTTTGAGTATCAAATGCACTGCGATCAGCCTTATTTCTCTGCGATTGAATAACACTGCAAAGTAGAAACTTTCTTTTTAATGATGAGTATTTAATCGTTCATGTGCACTGCGTAGTCGTGTTACCGCTGTTGTTTATGCTCACTGTACAGGCACCTTTGTGGAATAAGCTATCCTTCATGCCAATAATTGGGGTTCATGATCCCTGCTACATTAGAGCTTTTAACAGTTTAGTAGTACTATATTTGGAATTTGACAACTGCAGTATATATCATTTACTTGGGCTATCACTTGTTATAATTTCTGTCAGGTAGCATTGTGCAGCCTATGCTACACAAGATCCGATGCCGGTGCCAGCTGTACTGACTGAGAGTGGGGAATTCCAATTGATACAAAGAATAAAGACAGGTGAATCAATGTTCAGCTTGATGGCAAATTTCTCAGGAAAGCTTCAGAAAACCAAATTGTGTATTTGAGTTGAAAAGATAATTGGGTGAATGTAGGTCTAGTTGGGAATCGAACACAGGGTTAACGGATGCAAGACAAGCACGCTTCCCAAATACCGTGATGGCTCTCTGGTTTGAGGGGAATAAAGCGGAACTTAGTGAGTGGATGAGTGTGCACTGTAGCCCTTTCTGCTCCTACGCGGCTGACATTGTTGTTGCTTGTGGCCTCTGCAGGCAGTTAGCGTTATGGCACCGTATGGCAAGATGGTGCCACCCTCCTACAGACCATGGGAACAAGGGTCTAATAAAGCTGTCACACTCCCCTTTTAATGACGCAGCTCAATAGTGCACCAATTTTTTCCTATTCTTGGTTTACCTGTTGTTTCTCATAGTTTCAGGCTGCCTAGTTGGATGTGTGGCCCATACCCATGTGCAATCCTTGCATTATTCTATTAGTCTATACTATACAACTTGTGTCCCGAGCAGGAAGGCCTGCTGGATGTGACTCTGAGATTCTCTGATGGCACGTGGACTCCGCTGATAGATGTGCCGGAATCCGACTTCAGCCTCGTCATGGAGAGCCTCGATCCAGGGGTGGTCGCTCTGGCACCAGTGGCAGCCTCTTCGGGTGGCATGACAGCACGGCCACGGATCGTGGCCATCGGCCAAGGACAGGGAAGCTTATTGCAGGTACGGATCTGAACTGTGATTTAAAGTAAATAAAAGGGTGTTCATTCTTCTATTACTCGGTCTTAAGAGCACATTCATGCAGTTTCGTGGGACATACTGCAAGCTAATGTAAGCCAGCAAAACGATAGAGGTGCTTTTATGCGACTCTATTACCATGTGTTCATGCTCTTAGTAGTCGTCTGTTGTGCTGGCTAGGTTGCAGTTCATGCATTCTATATTTTAGCAAAGGAAGCATGTTTTCTCTGGAGACAGTTGCAAACATAACTCTCAACTCTTACAAGATCTCCAACAACCAACTTTCATAGTAAATTTGTTTCCTTATTTTGATTATGCCTTTTTATCAGGTACTGAAACAAAACTTTGTGGGCAAGATAGCCTGCGGAATTGATTTCCGTCAACATGTCTAAATAATCTGTAGTGACGTGCCCGGGTAGCGGGGACGCCGCTAGCCGAGCCAAAAGTGGGCGTAAAGCCCGCGAAGAATGACCCGACAACGCGTACTTCACAAGCAGCAAAAAGCCCCATTTAATGCCCACCGATGCCTTTTATACAGAGTGGGGGCGCCACCTCCCAGTTACTAGAAGCAACAGGTGGCATCCTCTACATAATCTGCGAAATATCAACAGCGAATATTGCTAGGAAGCAATTTTATGCGAATTTTTAAGTTTGCTGATGCGACCAAGTGCTATATGCTGCACATCGCAGCATTGACACTCCAAAAAGTGATCCAGCGTTGACCTCCCCTACTTTCCTCATGTCACTACGCTGCTGCAATAAGTTATGATGATGTCATAGTAAATGTTACTAGGTCCTGTCAGTTGTAAAACTGCGCGAAGCGGTGCTTAGCCAACTGGCAGGGTGCACCGCTACATCAGGGCAAGCAGGACACAAATATGAACACAGAAATCAAACAAAATATTTATTTGATGTGCCATTCCTTGGTTAATCTTTTGATTTCATAAAGTCATTAATTTGTGCTAAAGCTTTATTGAGGAGCTTCTTTCATTTGCTCAATCTCTCCAATCAGAACGTGTTGTGCTTCAAAAAATAGTTGAAGAACTCTGCATGATCAAAAACAAAGCAAGTTACAGGCACTTATTAAGCGACAATTATGTGCACTCTAAATAGAGGAGTCAATATGACAAGGAAATAAGTAGGAGTGCTACCAGTCTGCCTCTCTAATATTGATTAAAATTAGTTTGTGGATTCTTGCATAAAAGTACCCAGCTCTAGTAGGCAAAAGCTACACTTAACTTTAGTAAGTAATTATAACACAAGTTGGCAGTGAAACCTCGGCTGATTACGTGCAAAAATGGAGCCACCAACTTCCATGAATTTTGGTCAGATTGCAAAATTTCACCTGCCTGAAAACACAGCATATGTTTCTTTCTCCCAGGGAGATTTCGCCTCCCCTTTAGACCGATTGGAGGCTGCGCCAGTAACACTTCTACCGACTTGTCCTGCTGTATAAGAAATGGTAACGGCCACCTCACGAACAAAACGAGTCTGTCTTTTCAAGCCCATGGGGTGATTGTACAACCTCTTGGGAACGGCGATTCCTTTGCTCCGATGCACCTATAAAACAAGTCAAAGATGATGTGCACACATTAGTTTGTCAATGCACATTTTCTCATTAAAGCAAAGCAATATATCTTCAAGACAAAGCATACTAGAGTTTTATGATACCTCTCTGTCAGTGGGCACATAATTGATAAGCGGTGCAGCCTCCCTCACACTTGAGTGGGCTACTTCAGGGCTGTCCGTGGTGCTGTCCGTGGTCGCTGTGGTGGTTCTAGCGTGGCAGCACATAGTGGTGGCAAAGGTGCAAGTCGTTTCTGTTTTTGAGGTTTACGGCTGCAACACCCGCAAAGGACAAAGTTCTTTGCTGCAATGAAAAAGTAGAGTGTGCAGAAATAAAGTATATTGCACCCTTAATTGTCACGGTAGCATCCCAGGTGTGCATGGTCAAATAATATATATGATAAACATAGCATGCAGTTGAGATATGCAATTAAAGTGTAATGATACGTTGCATGTCACGTCTCAAAACCATGGTGTGATTATAGGGGATGCCGTAGTGGAGGGCTCAAGAAATTTTGACCAAGTGGTGTTCTTTTTAATATCCACCACACAGCGAAAGTTGTAAAAGCACATTTTCAAGTGATTAGAAAAACATGCATGCTTCCATGCCACCCATGAGCTTACATTGCATTCTGCTTTTCAGCAAAATTGCACGCTATAAGAATAGGGCAACTTGCTGCTGCATACAACCCTAGCAGCAGTGCGTTACAACAGCTTATGAAGAAAGGATAAACCTGTTTGAAAATTTTTGCTGCGAAGGGCATTTTCCAGTAGGCTTATTCTTTCTAATGCTTTTGTATTTTGAGCCCTGAGCATATATATTCACTTCTTTCAGAAGCTCTTTCTCTGTTCTTTTTTTCAGCATTAGCAAACAGCAGGCCTCCCTGCTGCTTCTTAAAACGGTTGCTGACGTGCTTTGTCTTCTGCTTAACAGAAGCTTGACGTCATGTTTCTTACAACTGCAGACAACCCAACACACAAAGTTCACTGCTAGTTCGCAAACACAAACAGGGCGTATATCCACACAAGCAAAATAATTTTAAACCAGTCAATTGTACAAAAAAATGTGACTAAGCTGCGCTCATACCACGATAGAATAAAATAAAATAGCTCTTCAGTATAGTGCAACTTTACTAACACCTGCAATACGACGTTCCGGCGCCCGCGCAGTAGTGGAGCAGCCATGCTCTGATATATTGGCTAAGGGGGCGTGGAGTATATCAGGCATCGGTGCTTCATGTGTGACACGGCACCATGTGCAGAGCAAAATTGGCTGCCGATTGTAATTGCGCCCCAGTAGCACATCAGCCGCAATGTCAACGATAGCCAAACTTGGCTGTCGGTAATAATTACGCTGCAAGTAGCATATCAGCTGCAGTGTGACCAATTGCAACTTACTTTTTTAAACGACTCATTGTCCACTTCGTTTGAACTGCAGCTATCGGAGGAGTCGCAATCGAGCCTGCGGAATGGATGGTCGTTTTTCTGTTGCATTCCTTGCATCATCCTCGGTGGCTAAAAAAATATGACCAGTAAATAACTTCAGAACGACTGCCTCTTCCTCTTTGTTTTCGTATTGGGAATACAAGAGGCGCGGACTTACCGTAAAGCTCAATCACTTGAGCGTGATAGTGGCTGCAGTGTGTGTGATCCTTCCAGAACACCCGGTACCACTTGTGAGGATTAAAATTGCCTGTATCCTTCGGATTGATGTACTTACATGCATTTACCGGGACTATTGATTTTTAATTATCATTGCAAAACCAAACATCTTGGAGAATTGCGAGTGTACAGGCGCGATACTTAGCAATTAAGAGACGCAACAATGTTCACATGCACTACACACGCACCAAGGCCGCCACCATGGTGGCCGCCACGAACTTGCTATTGATGACGATGGCAGTGCCATTTGTGGATCTCCCAAGTTGTTTATGCAACCACGAGTCCACGACTTATTCCTCAACACAACGCAATTTAGCTTTTGAAAACCAAAATATTTATTTGCAAAACATTTACTTCATGTTTTTACAACCTTAGGGGGTAGTTTTTTTAGAGCTCACAGCAAATAATATATAAACAATGAATGCAATTACTGTGAAATGGTGACGCTGTGCATAGCCTCCAAGATGGCAAACACACAATGACGGGCGCGCAGCAGCAATTTCAGTGGTCATGCGCTGTGTCGCCATATTCGCGTTGGTTAGGCTAAGTGGCGTTAGCCGCCGCCCAATTTCAAGGGTACAGCCATATCAATCCATTTATCCATTTATCTATCACATTAATATGGCTACAATCATCTAGCCATAATGGCAGTCAGCGACCACCATGGCGACGACCACCTTCCTCCGTGGCGACCACAGTACAATACACCTTCACCACGCGAGGGGTTCTGTAGAGTCACTACCTCGCGCCGTGATCTCGCGGCACAAGTTATAGTTTTCGGCAAAATCCGCGCCGCGTGCTTAACATTCAAGGCAAAGCAAGCAGGTTGTGAATGTGAAGCCTTGGTCGATGTAATCGATCTTTACCCGTTCACTTATTATCAGTCCCGCAGCCTCACTTTGCGTAAACACCATCAAGCGCGCTATTTGAAGTTTGTGTCAAGTTCGACGAGAGATGGAATCAACTCAACCCCAGCCTCGATCAAAAAGAAGAAGAAAAAACGCTATTTGCAGCCTGGATCGCAATATGTAGTACCTCGGACAAGGAGCGGTGGAGGCGCAGTCGGCCAACCAGCTACACTCAGCAAGAGCATTCCTCAGTCTTTAGCTGGTAATTGATGTTCTGGAGCAGCGGCCTTCGACACGTGAAGTCTGAGTGATGCGCATGGTGACAGGAATAAAAATCCTGATCCCGACGACACTTACGGCTTCGAGGAAAACTCGCTCAGCAATTCCGACCGGACTGCAGATGCGGCTCGCGACAATATTGGCATGAGCGACACTTTTTAAATGCAACAATGGCATGTATTTTACACAGGTACATGTCAATAAACTGCCAGGCTCTGTGTGTGTGCTCATGTGTGTGAGGCTTACATCAAAACTATTCAAGAACCCAGCTCACATTGGTATTTGCTCAGAAACAGAGAAAAAAAAGTTGTGCTTGAAGGATGTGGCCAGTGTGTTTGCACATGAAAGTTGGATGTGTTTGCTATGTTGCTGATGTACTAAACTTGTTTAAAACTTGTGGTGACATATATAGCCAGTCTAATATGAGTTTAGCAAGGTAGGACAACTAAATGTTGGCTCGATCCTTTCTATTGTTGTTCTCTTCACAACTGAACTTTTCTCATAGTAGGCAGTTTCTTGTGTGTGTGTGTGAGTGTGTGTGCGTGTCTGCGTGTGCATGCGTGTTTTGCAGTCAAATGCTTTTGCCTTAATTAGTACATGGTTTTTGATTTATCAATCTTGTGAGGATTA